AGGAGGTTAGTGGGACCAACTATAAATCCTGTCATTGCAGTTGTTCTTGGGGTCACAAGTGGTACCCATGCTCTCATCCACTATCCGTCTATCATTCTCCTCATGCTCAGTAGATCTGGTTGACTTACCAGGTGATATGACCCAAACATTCATTCCTAAGGGTTCTTAGTCCTTGGTCATCGTACCCTTCGTAGTCTGGGATTGCTGTATACGTACATTCTTGCAACTGGTCAAAGGAGTGCCAAGAGGCACCCAAGTGGATCATCTGGGTTCCAGATGTATTCCTCCTTGCCCCCAATGTGTAAGAGCAGCCCACCTCCTGCTAATCAAAGTTATTCCTGCCTGCTGGCCCCTGGGTGCAAAGAGCCAAAAATGCCCTGGCGATACTCGTAGCTTGTAGTTCAAAGGGATCCCTGCTGTGCCCCCACCCCACCCACCCTAGCAAGCAAGAAAACCTTTGGAGACCAGGACTTCCAACTCTAAACAGCACAGAGTTCCCTGGTGGGTGGGAGTGGTGGCCACTGGACCATTCTTATTTTCATCCCTTGGTTCCAGGATCCGTGTATTCTTCCTGTTGGAGGCACACTGCCATATAGTGATCTCTGATTTAACACCTGTACTATATCCTGAGGGACAGCACTCCATCCTTGCAAATCATTGCCTCCGAGCTACTGCTCCAGCTGTGACTCTAGTAGTCCTTAAGTTTCTAGTACTTCCTGAGGCTTGCTTCATCTACATGGTGCACTTTGTGGTCACAACAATTAGATCCCATCAGCATGGACCCACTTACACCTTCTCTGTACAATGGGTTTCCTTATGGCTGCTCTGCTGTGTGGGATTCCATGCCTATGGAGGCATTCTGTTAGTGGGGCCACCTGAGGCTGTGCAGGCAGGGGAGGCCAGGTGTTAGTATTCCCACTGTGCTCAATCAAAGACTGGGAGAAGCCCTGGGAAATGGTCACATGGAGTGAACGCCGCAGTGAATCCAAAGTTGATGCAGCAAGAGGAAGTCAGTCACATGTTCTCCCCACAGCAGGTTCTTTTGAAGGGAGAGCTCATCAAGAACCTTCATGGCTGCCAGACTGAGGTAGGGTGACTCTCAAAAATCTCATCAGAAGAAGCGTGAACACTTACACTCCTTGTTTCACGTTGTTCTTTGCTGGTGTGAGAAATATAGAATGAATGAATTCAAACCTAAGAACAGTATTTGAAGGAGAGCCAACTTGAATTCATGAAAGTCTAAAGGCTTTAATTAACTTCCAAACAAATACACTTACACACTAATTTATAGTCCTGGCGAAGGATTTTTCAGAAGACTCATAATAGGTAAAACTTATTTTTAACTTGTAATATCCACTTGCCTATAAGTAATTTCTCCAAGTGTCTGTCACTTTGTCATACTATGGTTGCCTGCATGTTGCTATGATGCTGGAAACTGTGCTACCAGTATTCCAAATACCACCAGGGTCACCCATGGTGGACAGGTTACAGCTGAGCTTCCAGACTAAGACTAGGAAGAAGGACCCGGAGGTCTATTCTGGAAAAAATTGTCCAGTGAAAACCATATGAGTAGGAGTGGAACATTGGTATAGTGCCAAAAGATAAGCCCCTCAGGTTGGAACTCACTCAAAATACAAATGGGGAAGAGCTATCTCAAAGTAGAGTCAACGTTAATGACGTGGATGGAGTCAAGCTTTTGGGACTTTCTCATCTGCTGATGTAGCATGACTCAAAATGAGAAGAAACATCTACAAACATCCATTAATGATTGGAATGTGGAATGTAAAAGAACTGTGAATCTAGGAAAATTAGAAGCGTCAAAAATGAAATGGAAC